TTCCTCGCTTCTTGAAATCCTTTGCCAAAGAAAATCGATGACTTATGCAGGTTAACCCGTTGACCGGAGGCCACCTCATACCGTGTTAATATATCCTTGAGCGTCTCCATATTTTCATTTGTCCCTTCCAGAAAGACAATACTATCATCCGCAAAAAGGAGGTGCGTGACATGGGGGCCAGTGCTCCCGAAGTTCACCCCTTTAATCCTTTTATCACTTTGCGCCTTCTTTAGTAGAGCTGAGAAACCCTCCACACAGAACAAAAACAAGTAGGGCGAAAGTGGATCACCCTGCCGTAATCCCCTGGAAGGAGAGAGACATCTTGAGCAGTCGCCATTTAATTTAACCCGGAAGCTTGCTGTCGTTACACACCTCATTATCATGGCAATCCATTCTTATGCAAATCCATACCGCCCTAGAATTTGCTCCAAAAAAATCCACTCCACCCGATCATACGCTTTCATCATGTCCAACTTCACCGCACACAAAGGCTTCTTCCTCTTACGTACTCGAATAGCATGAACACACTCATATGCCACCAAGACATTGTGAGAAATAAGCCTCCCTGGTACGAACGCACTCTGCTCCTCGGAGATCAGGATAGGGAGGATGCGCTTCAGCCGGTTTGCCAACACCTTTGTGGCTATCTTATAGAGAACGTTATAGAGGCTAATAGGTCGAAATTGGGATAAGAGCTCCGGCGAATTCACTTTGGGAATCATAACAATGATAGTAGCGTTGAAAGCGCCTGGGGCTGCTACCCCACTCAAAAAATCTCTCACAGCTCCACACACATCCTCCCTTACCAACGACCAGTGTCGCTGATAGAATAGAGCGGGAAGGCCATCCGGACCTGGGGCTTTCGTCGGACCCATTTGAAACAATGCCTTTTCGATTTCCTCATCTGAGATCGGGGATACAAGAGATGCATTCATGTCCTCTGTGACCACATTAGCTATACACTATAGTAATGCGTTGGCCCCTGTTGATCCCTCGGATGTGAAAAGCTATTCATAAAGCCTGCGGCCATCTCTCTCATTTCATCATTTACTGTACACTTTGTACCATCATCTCGTCTCAGTGCCCTGACCGTATTCTTGCGCTTCCGATGTGAGGCTCTATTCTGAAAATATTTTGTGTTTTGGTCCCCTGCACGTATCCAGTCTACCCTCGACCTTTGCCTGTACATAATTTCTTCCCTAGCATAAATCTCTCTTAATTCTTCCTCTATTTCCCGGACCTCCAGAGTGCATCCTGTCTGCATCGCTCTATTTTTTGCGTCAAGTAGATGTGATTTCAGCTTGACAATTTTCTTCCTAATGGATCCAAACACCTCACATGCCCAGCGCTGGAGGGACCCAGTCACACGTCCCAGTCGCTGCCAAACTGCAGCTAATCCACCTTCGCCCGTCCCGGCCACCTCCCAAGCTTCGGCCAACATCTCATCGTACTTCTCATGCCTCGTCCATGCTTCTTCAAAACGGAACTGTCTAGCACCATGTTTGTCGTCACATGGAGCCGTCTCTAACGCCCTGACAATTAGTGCTTGATGATCAGACTCCTCGGTGAGTATGTGTTCAACGCTTGTTTCCAGGAACAGTTACAAAAATCCATCATTGCATGTTGCACGATGCAGACGGACTTGGATATTTGCTGCACCATCCCGCTTATTGTCCCATGTATAAGGATATCCCAAGAATCCTAGATCATCTAGACCACACTCGGCTAAGCATTCTCTGAAGTCCTCCATCTGCTGGAAACACCTTGGGTTGCCGCCTCGTTGGTCGGTTTGAAAGAGAGCTTCATTGTAATCACCTACACAAATCCAGGGCAGGCTGTCCTGGCCCCTTAAATAGCGTAGAGCGTCCCAAGATTTCTTACGCAAATCCGTCTTTGGTTCACCATAGAATCCAGTGATTCTAAAAGTTTTTCTGTCCACATCAACCGCCGCATCAAGAAAATACTGACACCACGGACATACGGTGACTTGAACATGGTCTCGCCACCACAAGGCCAAACCTCCGCTCTGTCCCACACTATCCACGGCCACACCATTACGAAATCCAAGGCTCCACTTAAGTTTTTCCATAGCCCGACCCTTCTTTTTTGTCTCTGAAAGAAAAACCACCGCTGGGTTGTAGGACCGTACCAGGTCTCTCAATTCGCCCACTGTCGAGTCCAACCCCAGTCCTCGATAGTTCCAGGCCAGAATATTCATGGCGTCCGGTGGCCCCTCACCTCGAGGTCCACCGATATGTCGTTTGTCTCAGTGATGCGATCAAACACAGACGACGTCTTCCGTCTCGTGTCGGGAATAAACCCATCATTTGTTGTCTGCCTGTCAGGGTCGGTTTTAGCCACCCAATACTTCCTTGGACCTCTCTTTCTTCCACCCCATTCATACCTAGGCTGGTGTATTTCATGTTGAACCTCTCTGTATTCCTGCCGTGGCTTTCTGACGTAGTGTCCTTTCGTCCTTCTTCGGCCTCCTGGATCTCTCTCTCCGAAACTGGGAGGCTCACTACCTCTGTTGTCACCCGTATATTGCATACCTCCATCATCCTTTCTATCCCTCTCCAAGACCCTTGAGCTGCTAATGCCCGTATAGTATTTTTGATTTTCATAGAGTTTGTTTCTCAAGTCTCTCTCCTTCTGTTCCAAACCTTGCCTGAGGTCAACCTCCCTCAAATCATCATTGCGTGACCTGTCCTTTAGGGGGCTGGTTACTTCTCCCTTCTCATGTTTTGACCCCGCGCCAGTGCGCTGATCAGTCCACCTTGAGAATTGTTCTTGCAGATTTCGCTTCGCTGGGATGTCTCTCTTCTCCTTGCCTGGGCGTCTCCGGTCGCTGTCGCCGGTTCGGCCACTGCCCCAGCTGTTATTGCTGCTCTGCGAAGGACCATACGACCCCTCTTTGTCATTGTTGTTTCTGCCGGAGGAGGCCCTAAGCCAGCCCCCCCACTGAGCCTTCACATCTAACGGTGGATCGCAGAGACCTCCAACATGCACTAGCCTCCCACACTCAAAACAAAAGTGAGGAATCTTCTCATAATGAAAATCAGACCAGGTACTATCCTTATCCTCCCGCGATGTCTTCAGGTAAAAACCTCTCACCAATGGCTCAAACACCGAGATTCGCACCCTAAACCTGAGATTGGTTCCACGGGCAATTCCATCCTTGTCACAGTCAACTTTAACAATCGATCCCAGCCAGTTTCCAAGGGCTTTACCAAACTTCTCCGTTCTTCTGTCAGGAGGGAGATCATCAACACGGACCCAAACATCCACCGAGTCAAAAACCATCTCTGATGGCCTCTTGTTTCCTTCATACTCCTTGAGAATAAGCACACTGAAATCATACTGCCAGGGCCCATTATTCATTGCATGCTTCCAATCGCCCTCACTTTCAAAGTGCACCTCAAACACGTTTGATCCCAAGTCTCTGAAGCGAGCTTCTCGATGCAAGCCCCAGGCCCTAGTCATCGTCTTCTCCAGGGCGCTCTTTATCATTGGTCGCTTAGAGCAGACCTTTCCCACCGCTGACCATCGTGATAGCTTTGGGATTACCTCATCAGGTCATCAAACACCAATCCCTCCGCCTCTTTGTCCATCAACACCATGCCCCCCATCCGTGCCGACAAGCTCGACGTCGGATCAGGCGTTTTGCTCTCCACCGGTGATTTTGAGGATTCCCGGCTCGTTCCTTCTCCCACCTTGCGGATCAGCATGGTCGCCGTCGTCGTCTTGCCATCTGTTGCAGCCTTATTCAGCGGTGTCAGCGTCCCCCGCGCCGTCGCAGAGGACGCATCCTTCTTCAGATTCGAATATCCCGTCGCCCCAGATGGTTGGATCGACGTCTTCACCATGTTCTTTCCCTGTGCTCTACCCTCCGACCTCGCGGTCGTAGAGTCCATCTTCTTTTCCTGCATGGCCGCCGCCGCCTTTGAAGATGACATCTCCTCCGCCGCCTTATTCGTCTGTCCCGCTGCTCTCTCCGCCATTAGCTCCGTCCCCAGCGGAGATAGCACACCTCCGGTCAGGGACGAGGGACAGCGCCATCGCTTTCCCGGCCCCTACCGTAGACTCTCTCACCCCCGCGGCAAAAACCCTAACCCTAGCATGAGAGCGTAATCGCCATGCAACCGCCTCCCGTCGCCTTAGCGTTTTCCTGCGTGGTGGACCCTCTCGCCTACCGGTCCAAGTGATGGTGCTTACAATGTATTTACCATGTTGTTTGCTGAAAACTTACCATGTCGGTGTGGTGATGTATTAGACCATGGTGGTAATGTAACGTGGACAGTGGAGTAACAGATACGGACGCTATGGAGGGATCTGCAGCTGGGGCGCGCATAGGCGCAAAGGAGAATGATCAACGGTGCTGGTAGCGGATGTCGGTCGGTGTGGAGCAAGGCAAAGCGACCGCCGTGGCTGGTTCAGGTTTCAGGCCGAGGGCGTCGGTGCCTTTGTGTGGGGCACACGGCCGAGTCTTTCTTTCTCTACGGCCCGACGACGAATCGTCTCATCGTCTTTCTCTTTTCGCTTGTCTCGAGAAGCAGCTTTGTCTTTGGCGTGATAGCCCAGCATCCGCCGCACCGCTCAACGCAAAAAATAATCTTCCCCGGTCAAAATACTCGCAGATTAGACGGAATCATTGGGCTGTAGGAGGGTTCCCCGGCCGTGGCGTGTGGGCGCGATTATGCCAAAGCGACCACGCGGGCGAGGGGCGCGCGGGCAGAGCAGCCTTTCGAACCGCGGCGCAGCTTCATCATCTTCCTCCGTCCAGGAGCCAGCCGTCCTCCACTCCACCATCTTCTTACTTTGCAGCCAAGGCTTAGCGGCGTGCATGCAGCGGCGTGCATGCTGGCTTCTCCTTGGAGCAAAGCAAGGCATCCCAGGCGCGCACCCACCAGCGTTACACTAGAGCAAAAGCACGGCCGGCAATCCCACCCAAAGTTCACCAAGGATTGGACGAAAGAATTACGTAGCCAGCTCTCCGCGCAATGGCCGGCTCGGCAGCCCAAGCTCCCACGCAAGCCGGCCGCCTTACGAGGCCAATTCCCACGGCGCTCGTGCCTGCGGCCGTGGTGCTCGCCGTCGTCGTGGCCGTCCTGTCCCTGCTGCCCTCCGTGGCCCAGGCGGTGTGGGAGCTGCCCCACCTCTTCCTCCTCGGCCTCGTCATCTCCTACGGCGTCTTCGCGCAGCACAAGAACGGCGCTGCCGCGGCCGACGGCGGCGATGCCGCCACCAAGGACGGCGCCCGGGCGTGGAACTCTCGGTACCACCCCGACGACCCGCTCGTCGTGGTCGCGCCCGACCACGCGGCGGGTGATGACGGGGACGGCGGCGCGGGCGGGAGGCCGTTCTCCTTGCCGGTGCGGAGGCTCAAGACGGTCGTGGAAGAGTCGACCGAAGCCAGTGGCGCCAGCGGAGAGAGCGTCGGCGAAGAGACGGACAGCTCCGAGTCCACGGCAGGATTCTGGGCCGGCGCGCCCGCCGCTCCATCGCCGCCCTCTGTTCTTGACGCCTTTGACTCGCGGAAGTTCAATGCCGCGACGCCGCCGTCAGACGTGTCCAAGGGGTTCCCCGGTTACGATTCCGCGTCGCCTCGTGACCAGTCGTCGTGTAACGAGGAGGAGGAAGAGGTGGAGGAGGAGGAGGAGGAGGAGGAGGAGGGCACCGATTGGGAAGAGGATGCGGATGGGTCGGATGAGATGAACGCCGCGTCGTCGGAAAGGTCGTTCCCCGGCGACTTCGTTGCCTGCCGCAACCGTCGCTACGACGGCAGCGGGGATGGCGAGTCTATGGACGAGGAACTTGTCGAGCTGGCCACCAGGCCGGGACCGGAGGGGGCGGACGAGGTGGACAGGAAGGCCGACGAGTTCATCGCCAAATTCAGGGAGCAGATCAGGCGGCAGAGGTTGTAGGCTCGTAGCCGGCCAAGCGACGTAGACATGCATTGCATTGCATTGCATGCATCCCACGCACACGCACGACGTAGTGCCACTGCGAATGGAGGAGAGCATGACGTACTTGCAATTTGTGGACTTCTGTGTTTTTTTCTTCTTCTTCATCTGTGACATGATGAGCCTTCCCTGTATCATTTTCTTCTCTCGTTTGGAGCTTTAAACTGTTGCCGTTATTACAGCCTGGAAAGATGCAAATGAATGGAAACTGTTCATTCATTGCAATTCTGTAACATTTTCGCAACTACTCCGTCCGTTCCAAAATGATTGAAGTTTTAAGTGTGTCCTAAGTCAAACTTCTTTAAGTTTAATCAACTTTATAGAAAAATGTACCCGCAAAAGGAAACTTTATAGAAAAACATGATAAGATCATCATCACCAAATACACATACTATGAAAATATGTTTCATAAAAAATCTCATGAGCCTAATTTGATGTTCTGAATGTTAGTATATATTTTTCTATGATCTGATCAAACTTGAACAAGTTTAACTTAGGATAAACCTAAAACTTCAATTATTATTTGTGTTAACAAGCTTAATCGTTTAGCGAGCACAGAATATGTTGCCTTGCCGGCAGGAAATACACTTACACAACATGACGTTAACATCCTCACGTTTACTATTGATCAGTTGCCCGAAATGTTTTCATAGTCAGTTGATTTCGCAGATATAGATAAAACAAGTGGCACCCAAGGCGGAGACGCAGACGATGTAGCCGGACGTGACGTCTCTAATGAGGCCGAGTGGGGAACCACTTGAAGATAGGGAGAACACGACCGTGAAAGGGAGTTCGAGAAGGACGAATACACTCAATTGACAACAACTGCAACTGCCGGCTGTCCCAAACGCTGGCCTCGATAACCCATTCACAGCGGATGACATCTGGGAGGCAATCAAGGACTCGCCGATGGACAAGGCACCGGGACCAAACGGTTTCAATAGCGTGTTCTGCAGAACCAGCTCGGCAACCATCAAGGCGGATGTAATGCTTGCCTTCGATCAGTTCTACTGCAGTGCTGGTCAAAACTTCTGTGATCTCAAATCTGCTCTAGTAGCTCTATTGCTGAAGAAGAACAGAGCTTTGAAAATGTTAGTTTTTCGCCCCATCAGCCCAGTCCACTCCATAGCCAAGCTGATTGCAAAAGTGTTCTCCATCCACCTGATAATTTTGCCTGCCCAAACGGCCTTCATGAGATCAAAATGCATTCATGACAGTTTTATGTATGTTCAGAATGGGGTGAGGTCACTGCATAGGAAGAACACACCGGCAGTGTTGCTGAAATTGGATATCACCAGGGCTTTTGACAGTATCTCCTGGACCTATCTGCTTGAGCTCATGCAACAATTGGGATTCAGTGCGCGCTGGCGGGACTGGGTGACGCTGCTACTGTCCACCTCGCGCTCCTCTTTCATGCTTAATGGTGTCCCAGGAATGCCGGTCTTGCACCGCAAAGGATTGATGCAGGGTGATCCTCTATCCCCGCTATTGTTCATCATTGCCATAGACCCTCTACACCGGTTGCTGCAAGCTGCAGGCGATCAAGGCCTGCTCCAGCCACTGATGGGCAGAGAAATTTAGCTGAGGGTGTGTTGGGGAACGTAACATGCAATTTCAAAAAAAATCCTACGATCACGCAAGATCTATCTAGGAGATGCATAGCAACGAGAGGGGGAGAGTGTGTCCACGTACCCTCGTAGACCGAAAGTGGGAGCGTTAGCTTAACGTGGTTGAGGTAGTCGAACGTCTTCTCGATTCAACCGATCAAGCACCAAACGTACGGCACCTCCGAGTTCTGCACACGTTCAGCTCGATGACGTCCCTCGAACTCTTCATCTAGCAAAGTGACGAGCGAGAGTTTCGTCAGCACGACGGCGTGGTGACGGTGATGGTGAAGTGATCCTCGCAGGGCTTTGCCTAAGCACTATGACAATATGACCGGAGGAGTAAACGGTGGAGGGGGCGCCGCACACAGCTTGGAACAATTGATGTGTGTTACAGCCGCCCCATCCCTGTATATAAAGGAGGGAGAGGGGAGGAGGCCGGCCCTAGGCGCCCCAAGTGGGAGGAGTCACACTTGGGCTCCTAGTAGGATTCGCCCCCCTTCCTTTTATCGGAGGGAGAAATGGGGAAGGGAAGGGAGAAGGAGAAGGAAAGGGGGGCGCCACCCCCTCCCCTAGTCCAATTCGGGTTCCTCCCTTGGGGGGTGGGGGTTGCGTGCCACCCCTTAAGGGTTGGCCTCCCTCCCTCCTATGGCCCATATCTTCCCCCGGGGGGTTCCGATAACCCCCCGGTACTCCAATACGTACCCGATACATTCCGAAACACTTCCAGTGTCCAAATACTATCGTCCAGTATATCAATCTTTACCTCTCAACTATTTTGAGACTACTCGTCATGTCCGTGATCTCATCCAGGACTCCGAACAACATTCGGACACCAAATCACATAACTCATAATACAAATCGTCATCGAACGTTAAGCGTGCGGACCCTGCAGGTTTGAGAACTATGTAGACATGACCGAGACACCTCTCTGGCCAATAACCAACAACGAAATCTAGATGCTCATATTGGTTCCTACATATTGTACGAAGATCTTTATTGGTCAAATCGTAATGACAACATACATCATTCCCTTTGTCATCGGTATGTTACTTGCCCGAGATTCGATCGTCGGTATCTTCATACCTAGTTCAATCTCGTTACCGACAAGTCTCTTTACTCGTTGCGTAATGCATCATCCCACAACTAACTCATTAGTCACATTGCTTGCAAGGCTTATCATGATGTGCATTACCGAGAGGGCCCAGAGATACCTCTCCGACACTCGGAGTGACAAATCCTAATCTCGATCTATGCCAACCCAACAGCCACCTTCAGAGATACCTGTAGAGCATCTTTATAATCACCCAGTTACGTTGTGACGTTTGATAGTGCACAAGGTATTCCTCCGGTATCCGGGAGTTGCATAATCTCATAGTCGAAGGAATATGTATAAGTCATGAAGAAAGCAATAGCAACAAAACTTTAACGATCATTATGCTAAGCTAACGGATGGGTCTTGTCCATCACATCATTCTTCTAATGATGTGTTCTCGTTCATCAAATGATAACACATGTCTATGGTTAGGAAACTTAACCGACTTTGATTAACGAGCTAGTCTAGTAGAGGCATACTAGGGACACTGTGTTTTGTTTATGTATCCACACATGTATCAAGTTTCCGGTTAATAAAATTCTAGCATGAATAATAAACATTTATCATGACATAAGGAAATATAAATAACAACTTTATTATTGCCTCTAGGGCATATTTCCTTCAGTCTCCCACTTGCACTAGAGTCAATAATCTAGATTACATTATAATGATTCTAACACCCATGGAGTCTTGGTGTTGATCATGTTTTGCTCGTGGAAGAGGCTTAGTCAACGTGTCTACCACATTCAGATCCGTATGTATTTTGCATATCTCTATGTCTCCCTCCTTGACTTGATCACGGATGGAGTTGAAGCGTCTCTTGATGTGTTTGGTTCTCTTGTGAAATCTAGATTCCTTCGTCAAGGCAATTGCTCCCGTATTGTCACAAAAGATTTTCATTGGACCCGATGCACTAGGTATTACACCTAGATCGGATATGAACTCCTTCATCCAGGCTCCTTCATTCGCTACTTCCGAAGCAACTATGTACTCCGCTTCACACGTAGACCCCGCCATGACGCTTTGTTTGGAACTGCACCAACTGACATCTCCACCATTCAATATAAATACGTATCCAGTTTGTGACTTAGAATCATCCGGATCAGTGTCAAAGCTAGCACCGATGTAACCATTTACGAAGAGCTCTTTGTCACCTCCATAAACGAGAAACATATCCTTAGTCCTTTTCAGTTATTTCAGGATGTTCTTGACCGCTGTTCAGTGATCCACTCCTGGATTACTTTGGTACCTCCCTGCTAGACTTATAGCAAGGCACACATCAGGTCCGGTACACATCATTGCATACATGATAGAACCTATGGCTGAGGCATAGGGAATGACTTTCATTTTCTCTCTATCTTCTGCAGTGGTCGGGCATTGAGTCTGACTCAACTTCACACCTTGTAACACAAGCAAGAACCCTTTCTTTGATAGGTCCATTTTGAACATCTTCAAAACTTTACCAAGGTATGTGCTTTGTGAAAGTCCAATTAAGCGTCTTGATCTATCTCTATAGATCTTGATGCCCAATATATAAGAAGCTTCACCGAGGTCTTTCATTGAAAAACTCTTATTCAAGTATCCTTTTATGCTATCCAGAAAATCTATATCATTTCCAATCAACAATATGTCATCCACATATAATATTAGAAATGCTACAGAGCTCCCACTCACTTTCTTGTAAAAATAGGCTTCTCCAAAATTCTGTATAAAACCATATGCTTTCATCACACTATTAAAGCGTATATTCCAACTCTGAGGTGCTTGTTCCAGTCCATATATGGATCGCTGGAGCTTGCACACTTGGTTAGCACCTTTACGATCGACAAAACCTTCTGGTTGTATCATATACAACTCTTCTTTGAGAAATCCATTAAGGAATGTAGTTTTGACGTCCATTTGCTAGATTTCATAATCATAAAATGCGGCAATTGCTAACATGATTCAGACAAACTTAAGCATCGCTACGGGTGAGAAAGGCTCAGATTCCCCCTCCGGCAACCTCCAAGATTTGTCAGCAATCACACCATCCTCAACGAGCCTCTCCAGATCTTCCCGCTCGATGGCGGAGTGGATCCAGTCCCCCTAGATCCAACCAGGCGACAGACCGGACCGCGACGACGTCCCTCGAGCCGTCTTCTTGCCTTTTGCTGTCGCCGTTGCCTTGTTCGCGCGCTCCAAGGCCGTCGTTGAAAGAACATGCGGTGCCACCATGTTTGGTTTTGGTAATTGATGACAGTCTCTGTGGACTAATGTTTGCA